TATATATATATATATCGAGATGACCATTTGTGTTGAATTAAAAATGAATCATAGTATTTATGACTCCCTAAACTAAAGAGTATGGTTGAAGTTAAAATTTTATAGAGAGCTCCTAAAATAGCTTTTGTGTGTTTTTAGCTAAATTTTAATTGAAAAATAGAGTATGATATGTTGATTAAAATTTATGCAAAAAATCAAAGCCAAATGTAAAAAAATAAAAAAAAATAAAAAAAAATAAAAGCCAAATATTCAGAAGACACATAGGCAAGTACAAAACACGTTTTAATATAATTATTTCAGAACACTTATCAACATCGGGTGTTTGGTCTAGTGGTATGATTCTCGCTTCGGGTGCGAGAGGTCGCGAGTTCGATTCTCGCAACACCCCTTTCTTTATATTTTATATTTTATATTTATTTTTTGAATTCGTGGGCTTTTTTAAAGCCCAATTAGATTAGGCTCGATGGGCCAACCTGCCCATACAAAACCTGTTTCCTCATTGAAGCAGCAGAGACCGGAGATTTCATTCCTAGGGTTTTGCTGAAAGTCTTCGTCTCCCAAAACCTCCCTCCCTCTCTCTCTCTCTCTCTCTCTCTCTCTCTCTCTAATTCTTCACCATGAGCAGGTCAGGTCAGCCTCCGGATCTCAAAAAGTAAGCTCTTCTGTCCCCTATGGTCTATTTTTCCGTTTCGATTTTGTTGTTTTCGTTGTGTTTATTGTTTATTTATTTATTTATAAATTAAGATGCTAATTAATTGAAATTTATTGCATTTTTACAGGTACATGGACAAGAAGCTTCAAAGTAAGTTCTTTATACTGTCTCAAAAAGTTCTATCGTTTTACTTCCTCCCATCATGATCTCCCCCTATATTTTGCTCTGTTTGGTTGCTGAGAAAATTCGGCTAAGAAAACCAGTTCAACTTACTATTATGTTTACATTATCTGGGTATAAAATATTGTGGGAAAGGCACTGAGCCGAAACAATAATGACCGTCTTGCTTTTTTGAGTGAAATCTATATTTTTAAAGAAACAATTGTGCAGTTTCTTTGGTAGTAGTATGTATGATATGTTCATGATTTCATCCTGTCAACTATAATCATGAATTCAATGTTTATCCTGCTAACTATGCAACCACTCTATCATGTATGAAAATGAAAATGTAAGCCCAAATTGATGTGCACAACTAGGTTTCTGTTTCCTATAAAAAAAGAGTGTGAATAATCTGGATTTCTAGAATTCTGTGTGAAAGAGATTACTTTCTCAAGTTTATATTATTTTCTTTTCTTAATATGAAAGTTGGTTTTATATTTTGAATTCTAATGCACAGCCCAAGTAAAGCACACAAAGATTTATTTGTATTAGTCATCTATTAGTAAGGATCTTATTTTTTCCGTCTTTCTTTCTCTTCAAAAAATTCTGTTGGCAATTGTTGTATGAGCTTCTTAGTTGCTTTCCTTGCGTGATATGATCAATGAGTTTATTTGGGTGACTGCTCCTTTTTAATTCAACTAGGCGTTTTGGAGTTTTTCAGATAGTAATTGTTTGAGCACTTGGGATTGTAGTGCGAAATCAAGTTGTATTTTATAGGTTACACTGCGACCACCACAATTTCTCTAGATGATTCTTTAACGTTTTTTTAACTTTTTTAATTCTTACAATTTGAAATCATGTTCACTAAACTGCCCCTCTGTAGGAGTGTTTGGGTTGATGGGGGATTTTTACTTGCATGGCATGTGCTACCAAATTTTGTGAAACTGCTTGTATACTTGACACTGAGGGGTCTAAATATGAATATTTAAAGCTTGTGTAGATTCTCTTCTTAGTTGAAGTTAGGGGGAAGAATAGTAGAAGGTCAAACATTTTTGTCTTGCATTCGCAGAAACTATTTTTTTGATACTAAGACATTAGAGTCTGCATTTTTTATTTTTCCTCTTTATTGTTACCAGAAACTTTAAACAGTTGAATTAACTAATGTCTTTGATTGTAGTCAAGCTGAATGCAAATCGGATGGTTGTTGGAACACTTCGTGGTTTTGACCAGTTCATGAATCTAGTGGTTGACAACACCGTAGAAGTGAATGGCAATGAAAAGAATGATATAGGCATGGTGGTAAGTCCCAGCTTTCTCCACTTTTCTCGTTGTTTTTTTAGTTCCACTGCCATTTGGCCTGATGCTCCAATAATTAATTTGGTTTACTTAATTCTTACTTATATTGCTGCAGGTGATCCGGGGAAATAGTGTGGTTACCGTTGAAGCACTTGAGCCAGTGGCCAAAAATATGCAGTGATTCTGGCCTTGGGCTATTTTGGATTGGATGTATTCTGTGTTGGTATGTAGTTTGGACATATAGCTGCTTGTATGCAAAGGAAATTTGTGAAAGTTTGGGCCTTATG